GTAAATGTTTATATTAAAGAATTGTTCAAAAATAAACCGAAAACTTTTCGCTGAAACCTCTCGTTATATACATCTAAAAATAGATCCCAAAAATTCGTCGCCCATTAAAATAATGTCAAACTTTTTTTCTCTCTCTATTTTTCTCTGTTAAGTGACAAAAATTTAAATTATTTCACTTAAATTTCACTAAAAATTTCCAATAAAATGCCAATAATTATGACAAATGGATTCACTCTTTTTGTTATTGTTTTGTCAGAAAATATATTCAATTTTTATTTTGATTTATCTGACCTTAAATTGAAAGGAATTACAAAAACCAACAAAAAAAACGTTAGAATCAGTACTTCCTCATCAACACAATTATTCTTAACAAATGGTTAACAAATGCTTAATAAATATAAGAATAGTTTTTTTGTGTTTGAAATTCACAGACATTACATTACATTACAATTTCCATTATTAATACTGAATATAATATTGAGTTAATGGGAGACACCGTTCGCTGTGGTATAGTTAGAAGTGTTTGTTTAGTGTTTGGTCACGACTTGTGTTGTTTCTCATTATCTTTGTGTTGATTTGCATTTCGATGTGTTTTGTGGTCTAAAACATAATTTTCGAGTTTTTAATTTTCATAAATTATATGCTTTCATAGAGAGATTCAAACCTGCATTTTGTTTTGCTCTAAACTTGTGCTCAAAATATTTATATTTATTATATTTTCTGTTAAAACTAAACAAGTGTTTAAAACTGAAAGTTGTTATTAATCATCAAAATTATATTGAATTAACTTTTCTAATAATTCAATTATACTGTATATTGTAAATAAGTTTTACACAAAATTTAACAGATTTTAAATCTTTTTATTTGAGACAAACAGAGCTACGAATTGATGTGATTTTTGATTGTAATGTTCTCGATGTGAACATTGACTTTAAAATTGTTTGTTTGAATGAAATGTCAAATTTATTTGAGATAATATGCAAACGAATAAATTAAGAGGTATTTCAAAACAGTGAATGAAATTTTTATATAACTTTATCATTGGATTCGTTACACATTTCATATAATTATGATATGAATTATATTATCAATAAAACACTCGACAAATATTTATATATAACAATATTTTTTCTCAAATTTTGCCTTCAAATCTATCATTCATTGAATATTCTTATCACACAAACAGCAAAAAATAGTTTATTTTAATTATGGAAAACATTTCGAGTGATAAACAAAACATAAATTTTAATCAATTGACGGATGACTTATAAAAATAATCAAAATTAAAACAAATTATTTGTTAGTTTTGTTTAATTAATTAAAATAATAGTATTGTACTGTATATTGTTTTAATGGCTTTTAAAATGGGTTTTCTTAAGTAAAAGTAGTGAAAATAAATTGTTGAGAAATAATCCAAATGTTTGTCAATAGAAATGCAAGAATATTAAAAACTTTTAAACATTTTCCAAGTTTTAAAAGTAGTTTCAAAGAAATATGTTTCGGGAAATTCACCCAAAAAAACATAGTCTCTCTCATCAGAGGAATGCATTTCAATGAACTCTTTTGGAGTCAAGAAAACAGAGACAACAAAATGTTTCGACTAAAAGAAAACATCACTTTTATTGACACAAAACGAGTGAAGAAAATATATTAAAAATTTAGTTGAATATGAAATGATGTAAAAATGAATTGCAAAATAGGGTAAAAAAGTGCATAAAAGTGCAGCAAAAATGAAGTTTTGTATTGACGTGAATACGGACTGGTATTGCAGAGAGAGAGGAGAGGGGGTGTGAGGGGTGCGAGGGGTGTGCGGACCCGTTTTGCCAGAGCCTGTATGGTATGCCAACTGCAGTCCCTTCGCATACCTGTGCCGACGACTACCACAACCACTAATATTTACTGTAGACTCAATTCATTGAAAATAATTGCATTTCATTCAACAATAAACGCTTAAGAGATGTACAGAAAAACGAGGCGTTTGTCAGAGAAATGAGTGAATGAATGAATGACTGAATGCATTGCTTATTGTATTGTATGGTTGACTCACTTCTCGCAACATTACATAACTTTTTTTGCCGATCAAAACATTGAGTTGTTTTTTATGTCTCATTTGATACACAAAATGAATGAATATTTTTTAATCAACTTTTCTTAATATAAGTTTGTTTTCAATTATATTGTGTTTATTTTGATACCTATTTTCATAACAGATATGTATTAACAATGGATTCGCAAATAAATGGTTTGTGTTTATAGTGTTTGCTTTGAATATGATTTTGTATTATTGTTAATGTGTTTAAATGATTGACTAAATTATATGATAATTATATTAAACACACGAAACCATAATTAAAAGTCAGTGTTTTTAACGAGTTTTTGACACGTTTTATGTCTTGTATTACTCGACAATACAATATGTTTTCAATACAATGTGTTTTCATTTCAATTGATTTACTGTTTAGTGATTTTCATCTAATTTTATTGTTTTGTTTTTGTATATGATTTGTGGCGAAACAATCAGATGAAAGAGAAGACGTCCAGAAGAAGACATTCACCAAATGGATGAACAGTTATCTCTCAAAGGTTTGCATTTATTATTAATATTACGCTAATATTCACATGTATTTCGTCTACAAATATAACACATATTTCTTCACACAAACTATTGATTGGCAAAAAAGTTATATAAGTTTTTAACTCATTTATTGCAATATAAGTGAAACACAAAACACACGCAAACACTTTGAAGGCCTTTAAAAAGCGAAGTATCGCTTAATAAACCGTAAACTAATGTCTCAATTATGGCATTGCCTTTGGATTAATGCCAATAATATATGAGACACTGTTTTCTCCACATTTATTATTACACTTTCACTCCCTTTCTCTACAAAACTATTTAATTGTTGTATTAGTTTTTGTGTGAAAAACAATTGAATACCTCTTGTATTAGTTGCTCAAAGAAAAACATGACTTTCCCAACCATTTAATAATTTAGTGATGATATCATACTATATATGAATTAATGGTTATTATCTCCTTCCGCAGCGATCAGAGGCTCTCATCCAAGACCTGTTTGTGGATCTACGGGACGGCACTAAACTTATTTCGTTACTCGAGATCTTATGCAACAGACAAATAGTTTGTCACTTTGTTTCTTTTGTTTTATTTACTTATTATTAATTTTGTTTATTTAATAATATAATTATAATTATACCGTATTTAAGCCATTATTGGCTTAGTTTAGACCCAATTTCATAGCTTTTTATTACTATATTATATGACTGTTAAATGAGTTAACCGTACGCTTGGCTACACTTATGTTATGAATTGTTTTTGATATTTGATTTATATGTATATTTATGGCACTTTTAAACAGTTAATAGCGTTTAATGTTTAGTTAAACATAAAGAATGTATGAATTCAGCAAATATTTAGCTATTATTTCAAACGAAATCAAAATTTCTATTTATTTGCATTTTGAGCAAAATTTTCCTTATATTTGTCTCTCTCTGTGTGTATAATGTATTGACTGACGATTAAATCCATGTTTAGAAGCGAGAAAAGGGACGATTGAAAGTACATCATCTCAATAATGTCGGACAGGCTCTCGAAGTGCTCGAACTAAACAATGTAAGTTTGCTCTATCAACACATCAAACCTCTTCACATCATTTTTGTTTAATCTCTTATCTGATTATGTATTAAGCATTTGTGTTAAAATACACTGCAATACCACTACTGACTTGTGAGCGTAATAATAGATTTTCATATTTGTATTTGCGTTTTGTTATCAATCGCTAACTTATGATAAAAAACTATATTCAATGAAAAAATTAATCCTAAAATATGTTTAACGCGACAATTTATTTGTCTGTCAATGTCGTTATGGACTATCGATAAGACATTTCAGACAACTTATACAACATATTTTTAGTTGCAATAAGTTTTACAATTGTTTATTTTTTGCTTCAATTCTTGAAACTTAAGGTTAAATTAGTGAACATAAGTACAAACGATATCGTCGATGGAAACCCTAAACTGACGTTAGGCTTAGTTTGGAGTATAATATTGCACTGGCAGGTAATGGCAACACTTCATATCAACTATTAATTAGATGTTTTGGATATAAATAATTTGTATTGTGTTTTGTGGCCAATCCATAGGTTCACGGCTTACTTAAGGCCATGGCACAGGATATGCAACACCAGAATCTGGAGAAAACCCTACTGTCGTGGTGTCGGTCCAACACCAGTGGGTTAGTTCAATAACATTTAAATTTTTGAATGTTTTTATCGTATTTCCTAAAAAACTAAGTTATAATTCATATGTTGTTTTCCATATGACAACAAAGCTATGAAGGGGTAGACATCACTAACTTCACGACCAGTTGGAGCGATGGACTGGCATTTAATGCACTTTTGCATAGATTCAGGTTTTTTATAAATTCAAAATTCTTGTTTTTATTCTTGATCTTTAAGTTTACGAAATGAAACAAAAAACAAAACAAATGCATTTGTATTTAAAGGCCACACCTTTTCGATTATAAATCGTTGCTTAAGAAGGACGCCAACTCTCGGCTAATCCATGCCTTCGACTTTGCGTTCAGACATTTGCAGATCGAAAAACTTTTAGACACCGAAGGTTTGCATAGAAATATTATTGATTGATTGATACGATGACAAGTGGGATAGAAATGTGATAATATTTTTTGTGACAAATACTGTATATGTTTAGACATTAACACCAGCCGTCCCGACAAGAAGTCAGTGATGATGTATGTCATGTGCTTTTTTAAAGCCCTCCAGAATGATAGCGCAGACACGTCTGACAGCAAATGTGAAGCATCGGTACTATATTTTTACTTTATATCAAATATTTTGTTCAATATTTGACGCAAAAATATTTGGGCCGTTGTTTTAGTCGTCAGATTTGGATCAGAGAAAGATCGCTGAATACCAGTCAAACTTAGAGGACATACTGACGTGGATGTTGGGCGCGGAGGAACAGCTCAACAATTGCGAGCCAATCGCCAACAAAGAGTTGGAGACAGTGAAGCATCTCTTCCACGACAACGAACTCTTTATGATTGAATTAAGTCATTATCAGCAGAAAATTGAAGAGATGTTCAGCGAAGGCCAGCAATTGATCCGTTCGGATGTGTGCGACTCCGACGAAAGGGACGAAATATCGCTTCAAATGGAGTTATTGAACGCTCGTTGGGATCAATTGAGGTTCAAAGCGATGGAAAGACAACAACAGCTAAACGATTCCTTAATGAATTTACAACAAAAACAATTGGATTCACTGCGAGAATGGTTGACATCAGCTGAGGTGAAGATCTGTGATTTCTCTAATATTGGCGCCAATTTGGCCGCAGTTAAGGATCAACTAAAGCAACACAAACTCCTTATGAAACAAGTGGAACAACAGCAAGAAGTGGTTAATCTGGTATCAAATATGGTTGTGATTAATGACGACAGCAATAGTGATAATGACTTCGGAGCCTTAGAGGACCAGTTGGAAGCGTTGGCCGAACGCTGGCGTCATGTCTGCCGTTTTGTTGAGGACACCGGAAATACTTTGCATACTATTTATAATTCGTGGAAAATATTGAACGAAGAGGAGAAGAAGTTCAGTCAATGGCTGACAAAACTGGACCGACGGCTCACCGAAATGGAAGACGCGGCCACTGAGACGTCTCCTGGATCTAAGTTTGTGTTGGATTTAGTGAAACGATTGCAACGAATGGAGAGTGAGATGGAGTGCCAGCAAACAAACTCATCCAATCTGGCAGATCAGGCGCAGATCCTATTGGCCCGACTCACCCGTGGAAGCGATGCCGCGCAGGAAATCACACGTAATTTAGACCGACTTATGCAACACTGGGACGCGATTTTGCAACGCATGGAACAGTTGGGCGAAACGCTCAACACATTGAGCCAACCCGCCAGCCGTTCCTCCACTTCATCGCAGGCCTCGTCGCCCGACAAGAAGGAGATCTCTTGCAACACTGGGACGCGATTTTGCAACGCATGGAACAGTTGGGCGAAACGCTCAACACATTGAGCCAACCCGCCAGCCGTTCCTCCACTTCATCGCAGGCCTCGTCGCCCGACAAGAAGGAGATCTCGTCGTCGGAGACCTCATCGACCGCTTCGACGCCCACCACGACGTCAGCCAAGAAGCGACGACTCGACTCGTGGAGAATCCAAGAATGGCAAAGAGCTCTCGACACACTTTCCTCGTGGTTGGAAAGGGTTGAGGAGGCGCTCGGCATTGACACCGATGACGAAGAGGGATCACTTCTATGGGAATCATTAGCCATCGAAGAACAACAAGTGTTGTTAGAAGACACAGAAGCGGACGTCGAGTTACGCAAAACAGAATTTGAACAATTGATATCTCAGGGCAAACAAATTGTCGACGACTTGACGTCCAGTGAGTCTTAATGTTTATATGGTTTTAAATTTTGATAAATACTTAAAACGTTTTTTTTGTTAATTATTTGCCAAACACTAGTCGGCGAAGACTCGCAAACCATCGAAGAAGTGGTTCACACTATTCTCGAGCGTTGGATAGAAGTGAACCAAGTTTTGGATGAAAGGCAGCAAAGAGTGATCGCCTTTCTTGAAGTGAATCGAATACACAGCGAATCCGATGCCATGACTAGAGTTCTTGAAACGCATCACAAATGGCTGGAGACAGCAGAAGAGGCTATTAATAAGGCTGAAGAATTGCCAAAACTTTTAGATCAAAGCAAAGTAAATCAATTTGTATCCAATATTATACAATCTACTTATTAATATGTGTTTGTCTTTTAGTTACGCCTCAAATCAATGCAATCGCAGAAAGAAAAAGTGCAGAAAATAACTGAAGACGTGCTCCGACTGTGCGTTGAAATCCCGTCCTCTTCTACCGATTCCGCTATCTTACTATAGTTTTCAAAGTAAAGAAAAACCCTGCTTTGGTTATTTTTCTAATAATTAAAATTATTAGCAAATTGCTTACTAAACGGCTTTTGACTAAAGTTTGGTTTCAGATATAATTCACAGTTTTAGGAAACACAAAGTGTTCAAAAAGAAGAGCCCAATGAGGAGTTGCCTCAACAATACGCACATCTATTTAA